AAAAACAGTAATATTGTGAAATATTACTACAATTTGAAATAACTGATTTGTTTTGGAATTTATTGTAAAATGTAATTTATTCCCGTTATGTAAAGCTGAATTTTCAGCATCATTACTACAGTCCTCAGTGTCACGTGATCCTTCAGAAATTATTCTAATATGCTGATTTGCTGCTCAAGAAACATTTCTTATCATCAATGTTGAATAAACTGAATTTTGTTTAATTTTGTGCATCATTAGTTACATATCAATTTTTGTGGAAACCATTATGTACTACCTTTCAAAAGTTTGGAATAAGAAAAGAAAACTTAATGCTTTTATTCGGCAAGAATGCATTAAATTGATCAAATGTGCCAGTAAAGACATTAATAATATTACAAAAAAATAAATAAATAAAATGAAAAAAAAAAAATCTATCATCTATCAAAAATATTAAGCAGTAAAAACATTTAAAAAAAATTTTTTTTTATATATATATACATTGTTAATAATGACAACCATTATTGATACATGAATACTACTAATAATTGAGCACCCAATCATCATAATATAATGATTTCTGAAGGATCATGTGACACTGAAGACTGGAGTAATGATACTGGAGTAAATTTAGCTTTGATCACAGGAATACATTACATTTTAAAATATATTCAAATGGAAAGCAGTTATTTTAAATAGTAAAAATATTTCACAACATTACTGCTTTACATTTTAAAATATGTTAAAATAGAAAACATTTATTTAAAATGTTAACAATATTTCAGAATATTACTGTTTATACTGTATTTTTGATGAAATAAATGTAGCTTTAGTGAAAAGTAAAGTAAACTTTTAGTGAAAACTATACCCATAGTAGCGTTATACCACCCACTCCTATTCAATATGTTAAATGTGTCTAAATGATGCTTACGATCACCGTTGGCACTAGGTGTGGGCGTATCCTGAGGTGACGCGGGTCTGCTGGGGATGTTTGGCTCCGCGGGGGCAGCTGGCACTGGTGAGGGGCCTGGCACAGGGGGAGAGGCTGGGGTAACGGCAGCAGGCGGTGGGACAGGCTCCACAGGAACATTACACACAGTTTCTGTACAAAAAAAATAAAAATCAGGATTTCAGCTAACCAAATCCAAACCTGTGTTGTACACGGTTGAACTCAAATGTTAAATGTGAGTATTGTGTTTATTGAGTGCTCAGTACCTGGAATGACAGCTTGTTTGAAGAGCTCCTCCTTCAGACGGGGCAGGAAACAGTCGATTCTCTCCCTGGCACTAGGTGTGGGCGTATCCTGAGGTGACGCGGGTCTGCTGTGGATGTTTGGCTCTGCGGGGGCAGCTGGCACTGGTGAGGGGCCTGGCACAGGGGGAGAGGCTGGGGTAACGGCAGCAGGCGGTGGGACAGGCTCCACAGGAACATTACACACAGGTTCTGTACAAAAAAAATAAAAATCAGGATTTCAGCTAACCAAATCCAAACCTGTGTTGTACATGGTTGAACTCAAATGTTAAATGTGAGTATTGTGTTTATTGAGTGCTCAGTACCTGGAATGACAGCTTGTTTGAAGAGCTCCTCCTTCAGACGGGGCAGGAAACAGTCGATTCTCTCCCAGGTGATTTCCCACAAATCTGAGTAGCCTGTACGGGAGTCTGCGCTGTGAAAGATCCCTGCTGTGTCCATCACCAGCAGCATGTTCTTCAGAGACTCAGGGATGGCCTCCAGCTGTGCACCAAAGTTAAACACACAAGACTCATCAGCGCTCAGGATTTAATCACTTTTTTGCTGTAAATCTATGAACATCTTATCTAAGAGTGATTGATAACAAAATAACATCACAATTTATTTCAGACAGGAACACGATTCACAATCTTATCACAATTATTTTTCAAAACTGCACAGTCTTCACTATGATTTTTTTCATATACATTGATTCTTACTAAAGCTTCAAAAGTTCTTCAGTCAAGAGCAGTGAGTGATTTTTTTTGTTTGTCTTTTGTTGTTTGATTAATATTAATGCAGACATATTAGCAGCTGCTGTCACTTTAAGACTCAATGCACAAATCCAATATACTGCCACACATCTGAGTTTCTCCCAACTGTTTACGTTCACTTAAGACACAACTGTGTTTGCGTAAACCTTGAGTGTGGTTGACTAAAGCAATAAGCCCCAAGACGCCGTGGTTTACAGTGAATTTATAACAGCTAAGGGGCATTGTTAGGCACGACGCAAAGCGGACCCCCTTAGCTGTTATAAATTCACTGTAAACCACGGCTTCACTGGGCTTATTGCTTTTATAAAATGGGTTATTCCATATGCGTAGTAAGGTTTCACAGAATAAAACAGAGCCAATAGAGCATAATGATATAAATAAAAACCGTATTCTTCCACCAAACAATGTAGTTCCTCAGAAAGAGTTGTGCTTCCAACAAAGTGGTTGCCGAGCAACACACAGAAGTAAACAAAGGTGTATGTTTGTAGTGTAATTTACAACAGCTTTGAACGCGGCTCAACCAATCAGAATCAAGAACCGGAACTATCCGTTTTATAAAAAATATTGTTTGTTTTTGACAGTTTAAGCGCAATAAGATGTGAAAAATTTTGGCGACATTTGTTAAATCCCATGTAGTTCCAAATGTATTTCTTTCTTATAAGAAACAAAAGAAAATGGTAAAAAGACATTTGAGCTGCTGTTTTCTGCACATTAGAACTGTCAAGCTTCAGAAAAAGAAAACAAGTATCAAAGTTTCATAAAATGCATTCGTGTGAGTTCTGCAGACTGCACTATTTTCCAAGTCAATACTACACCTTTGCTTGTGGAATACACTGAAATCTTAGTCATTGTTAATATAATACAGGTTTGAGATGACATGAAGGTAAAATGATGAGAACAGGCTGGGGTGTATAATTTCCTTTAATATCCCTCACTATCTGAGAGCATCTTACCAGAAGGTCGCTGGAGCCGGCGTGCATGTACTTGTCCATGAAGTCTAATATGGTGAGCCAGAGGGCAGCAAATGTGGGAAGAGAGAGCAGAGGAGAGAGATGCTGCAGGAACACCTGAGGAGACAAAAGACACTTACAATCACTCTTTAAATACAGTTGAAATTATTAGGATTAATAAGCAAAGAAGTCCAAGGCCAGACCTTAGAAAGCAGTGTGCAGGCCCTCATCCTGGTCTCCTCCATGCCTCCCACATCAGCTGGACTGACGTTATCTAGGAGTTTTGTCAGCAGAGGAAACATGACCTAAAAAAAGACAGAAATCACCATCATTTCTCAGTTATACATATTACAGTTTCGTAAAAATTAAAATGCATGTTAAACTAACACTATATACAGGTGCATCTCAATAAATTAGAATGTCGTGGAAAAGTTCATTTATTTCAGTAATTCAACTCAAATTGTGAAACTCGTGTATTAAATAAATTCAATGCACACAGACTGAAGAGTTGAATTACTGAAATAAATGAACTTTTCCACGACATTCTAATTTATTGAGATGCACCTGTAGCCAAACAGAACTAGTTTACCTTGTTGAAGCAGGACTCCCACTCCACTGCATCCAAAGTTTGTAGATCATGTACAAGAAGTGCCCTTTGTAGGTAGGTGAGAGCTTGCATGCGGACTTGCCTCCGTGCATCACAGCACAACCAAGCCATACCTACAAGGCCAAAACGCACGAGTTATAGAGCATCTCTGAACATCCACCTCCTTTAAAGGGACAGTTCACCCAAAAATTAAAATTCGATCATTTACTCTCTTACCTGTAAGACTTTCGTTCATCTTCACAACACAAATGAAGATAATTATAGTGAAATCTGTAAGATGTCTGTCCTTTCATTGACAGTCTACGCAACTACCACTTTGACACTTCACAAAGTTCATAAAGACATCGTAACTAATCTATATGAATTTAGTCAAAATTTTCTATGGAGAATCAATCACTTTATATGATGAGCAGACCTAATTTAGGCTTTTTTTAAGATTAATTTTTGGCATTTTTGGCTTTATCCGACAGGACAGTAGTGAGAGAGGAAGTGAAGTGGGAGAGAGTAGCACACCGGCGCTACATATCGACGCACTGAGGCTATCGGCGCAGACTTAATTTAGGCTTTTATTCACATATAAACTTTAATCAATACACACATCATATACAGTGATCGGATCTCTTCAGTTTCAATTCATATAGGTTAGTTTAACAATCTCTTTATTCATTTTTGGAAGCATCAAAGAGGCAGTTACGTAACTGTCAATGGAGGGACAGATATATTTAAGATTTCATTAAAAATGTCTTCATTTGTGTTTTGAAGATGAACAAAAGTCTTATGGGTTTGGAATGACATGAGGGTGAGTATGGCCGAATTTTCATTTGTGGGTGAACTCTTTAATCCCTTTAATGCATTCAATATAACAAATGAAATTATCACTTAGTTTACAACAAAAACTTTGTTATTCTACGCATTTGTAATTGACACTGAGGCTTGCTAATATGCTTTTTGGCTAGTCTCTGACCTTGAAGGAGAGGACACCAGCAGCTGGACCATAGTGTTGGAGAGTCTGCCTCGATCTTTCTGCCAGCATCCTCTAGATGGCGCTGTTCCTCTGCCCACGAGCTGTAGATGCCGGCTGCTCGCGTGTGCAGTGTATGCATCAGGTCTAACAACTATATGGGCAAACAGGCTGTTTTAATAATCACTGAACACTCAGGGGCATATCTGGTGTATTAAATGAATATTTGCTTTTCTAACAGACTCACTTTCATCTTATTAATAGGGACAATAGAAATGATTGTTTTACAACCACTACTGAGACATGACAGGTAAACAGGCAGAAAAGAACATGACAAAGCACAAAAAATCATGCTATACATTTCATACTGTTCAGACATCATGATATTGCTTTTATGTGCACTATTCAGGTTATGAATATGGGGAAAGCATGCTTCCCCAGGCAAACATCACAAAGACATGTCGGGTCATATTCATACAGAAAAAAAGGCTATATTTGAATAATTAACATTTTTGTAATATGCCTTTTTAAATTACAATTGAGCATATTTCTATCAATATTTAATGGCATAAAAACCCTCAGTCATTACTGTGATCAATAAAAATCATCTTGGTCAGAGACGATTATTTTTAACAGCAGTACAACATACTACTACGATAATTGGATTTTCCAAATGTACTTCACATATTTAAATAAATATATATTTTTTTTTTCATTACTGTAATAAAAAGGAGATTTTGTAAATAAGAAACTAAGAATTAGAAGGAGGTGTGAAAATTAGTCATGAATAAAAACATCATGAAAATAATGTCACAAAAATAGGCTTGATTTTCTTTAAGCAAAATATGGCAATATGTACAATAAATTAAATTCAGTAATAATATAATTGTATCTATAAAAAATTATTGAAAACATTTAAAGATAAAAAATTAATACAAAGTTAGCCTTAAAGGGAAAAAAAATTACGGATAATCTTAATTACAATGCAACAGCAGCTTCTCAGTGAGATTCAGACAAATTTGTATTAATATCTAATAACAATGCAGTCAAAACTTAATTAGTTTAATTAAACATTAGATATCTTTTCAGCTTTTTTTGTCAGCTTCTAAATTTTTACTTGAATACTTCATGCTGTTGTTAGAGACCTAAAAATTTACTTGTGTTTTTTTTACTGCTTACTTTAAATCAATGTGTACTTAATTGTGAAATACTTGGACTCTTGTTTTAATTGTTAATTAACTATTAATTTTGTTA